GGCTTTCCCCTTTCCTTATCCCCCCCCCTTCACACCCTACTTTAATACCCACCTTAACCCCCTTTTAATGCCCTCCCCTTTCATGGTTTCCTTCAGTCCTCCCCTTTCATGCATACTTTCAGCCCCCCCCCCCCCAATCACCATTGCTTTCCTGTTTTTTCTTTCAAAATGCGCTCTTCATCACCCTTCCATAACCCAGGAAAAGTAATTAGTAGAGTCATTCCTTGGCATCCAGTGGTGCTTTTCTTCCCTCCTGTGCGGCTGTCTGGCTGGAAGGAAGTGTAGTTATATGTCACTTTTTACCAGTACTGCCGTGGAGGAAGGGGGAATGAGCGTGAGGGCCACAGGACTGCTTTGTAACTGCAAAGTGCACACCACCTTAATGGGACCAGCTAGCCACGATAATGCAAATATTAGGGCCAGCCTGTAGTGTAGTCCCGGCCATCTTAATATTTCTATTAGTGCGGCCGGCGTTTTTTTTTTTAAGGGCATCGGCTGTTTTATTGGGGTATTAGAGACCTGGGGGCACTTACGCTGCGGACCAGTCTGTCCCTGGTCACGACCCGTTACTTGAGAAACATGGCTGTACATCCACCATTAATATATAAAGTCACATACCAGCAGTTGTGGGTATGTATATACAGTGCTGTGTTCTGACTTCCTGTCCCAATCCCAAAACAAAATAGACTCTGGTAGAGCGGTCCTCGGCTATTCACAAAAAGCTTTGAATTTCCAAGGCTTCCTCTGATTGGCTGGGGTGCAGATTGTGACATCATCCACCTTCCTCTCCACCTCAGTCAATCAGAGGGAGCCTTGTATTCATTCTGAATACAGAAAGGTTCCTGTGAATGGTTGAGCAGCACTCAGCCCAACTCAAATTTGTGCTGGGAGTGAGACAGGAAGTCCCTGTACTGCTGCCGGAACACATATTGTTATGTAGCATACAGTTTATACAGTGCTCACAGCAGGCACATCTGTTAGTGACAGTAATAGTTCTTTTGGACCAACTTGGTCCAAACAAACTATTTTAAAGTGACAGAAAGCTGAAGTTAGGCTTTAAGGAGTAATTCAGTTCACCTGTTCCCACTCAACATATAGAGCAAAGTAATTAAAGAGTTAAATAATGGACAAAATACTCTGTATCGATCTCTAACATCCAGGCAGAATTTAAAGCCCTAATCCAGCCACAACTTTTTTTTTCGCAGGAAGTAGTGGAAAATCTATGCTTATTTGCATATTTTTTACTTGTTATAGTTTTATGCTAACAAGGATCCATTTACTTCAAAAACACTGAAGTGCGCTGGAGACATACCAGTAATTCCTTCTGTATTGTTGTGGTGCTATCCACTGGCTACTTTAGCACCCCGTATATGGGCAGATTCTGGTCTGGTGTGTAATGGGGATTTCTTGATCTCTCTAGTAGGTACACAGAACATAAAAATATACTTTTTTTTTTTTGGTAAAGTAGAGAAGGTTCAAACCAGTTCTATGAACAAAGCACAGGTTGAATACCTGTACCAAAGACTTCACAAAACAAGGTGCTACACTTGGATAAGCCATCCCTGTGGAGTGGATCATGCAGTTTTCTATTGACTCTTGAATCTGAAAGAAAAATAGTTTTTTAGGAAATGATTCACTCACTTCATCATCATCAGGGGACTTGGTTATGATACCAGTAAGAGAACCCATTGGTTTGCACAGGACGCAATAGGGTTGATTTACTAAAACTGACTCAGGCAATAAAGTACATGCCAATGAACAAAGTGACAGTAAATGGTTCCATTATATGTACATGCATGTTAAGTAATGTACACATGCACACAATGTAAGTAATGTAATAATACAGTCCTTCCTAAAACGTGAAGTTAGCAGTGCAAAAACATTTCACTTCGATAATAACATATTCAATATACACTCTCCAGCCACTTTATTAGGTATACCTGTTCAATTGCTTGGTAACACAAATTTCTAATCAGTCAATCACATGACAGCAACTCAATACATTTAGACATGTAGACGTAGTGAAGACAACTTGCTGAAGTTCAAACCGAGCATCAGAACGGAGAATAAAGAGGACTTAGGTGACTTTGAATGTGGCATGGTTGTTGGTGCCAGACATGCTGGTCTGAGTATTTCAAAAACTGCTGATCTACTGGGATTTTCATGCAAAGCCATCTCTAGGGTTTAGAAAGAATGGTCCAAAAAAGAGAAAATATCCAGTGAGCGGCAGTTGTGTGGATGAAAATGCCTTGTTGATGTCAGAGGAGAATGGGCAGACTGGTTCGAGATGATAGAAAGACAACAGTAACTCAAATAACCACTCCTTACAACCAAGGTATGCAGAATACCATCTCTGAATGCACAACATGATGAACCTTGAAGAAGATGGGTTACAGCAGCAGAAAACCACACTGGGTGCCAGTCCTGTCACCTAAGAACAGGAAACAGAGGCTAAAATTCGCACAGGCTCACCAAAATTAGACAATAGAAGATAGGAAAAATGCTGCCTGGTCTGATGAGTCTCAATATCCCTAGAGATGGTTGTGCATGACAATCCCAGTAGATCAGAATAAATCCTTAAATATTCTGGTCTGGTGCGCAATGGGGATTTCTTGATCTCCCCAGTAGGTAAACAGAATATAAAAATACACTTTTTTCATTAAGGTAGAGAAGGTTCAAACCAGTTCTATGGATAAAGCACAGGTTGAATACCTGTGCCAAAGACTTCACAAAACAAGGTACTACACTTGGATAAGCTTTCCCAGTGGAGAGGATCGTGCAGTTTTCTATTAACGTAAGAATCTGCATAAGAAGAGCTTCATAACTTGTAGGAAGTAATTAACTCACCTTATCATCATCTGGGGACTCAGTTATGAGACCAGTAATGGCACCCATTGGTTTGCACAGCACACAATGGGGTTGATTTAACTAAAACTGGAGAGCGCAAAATCTGGTGCAGCTCTGCATAGAAACTAATCAGCTTCCAGGTTTTATTGTCAAAGTTTAATTGAACAAGCTGAAGTTAGAAAATGATTGGCTACAATCCACTGCTGCACCAGATTCTGAGTGCTCCAGTTTTAGTAAATCTCCCTCAATGTGTCAAGAGTCTACAAAGATTTCTATAATATAATACACGAACAGAATATCCTCATGTGGACCAAAATAAATGGAAAGTCAAAATTCAAAAGCACATTAACAAATAGTTTTTTCAAAAATTTATTGCATGACATCCTTTGCCATTGTTACTTCCCCCATTATTTACATTTAAACAACTTTTCTATTTACATATCATATTAAAGTTAACATAGCACAATTTCATTAATTCCCATCACTGATCTACAGAGATAGGTCATTTAAATTAAGACAAACTTCCACCAAATATTTCACCATTATACATGGTAAAGGAGGGAAGCACGTGTAATCATAATAATGGAGCAGGGACGGGTTGTATAAAATAAGATGATATTTTTAAGAACAAAAAAGAACAAGTAAAGCCAAAGCGATACCATTTATTGAAACAGATTAAAAAGGCAAGCTTTTGAAGCAGATTTAGTCATCAGGCAAAGTACAATCTAAAAACCACACACTTTTGATAAAAAAAATAAAGTGCTGTATTGCACGAAAATGTGTGCCCATTACACTCATGCCCGATGAAGAACCCCATCTGTAGGCTTGCATTTTAAAGGAGGTCTCCAGTCAAGATTAAAATTGTCAGTATGCTAACGTATTTACATTCAGACTTTTTGTGTGGATGCATAGTGGCTACTGCTGAATGGCACAACATTGTGTAGGATGGCTCATTTGTTGTGCATGACTCTACATTGCCTTAGACATACTTCATTTACTGCTCCAGGGACAAAACTGTTGAGTGGCATGCTTTTTTTTTTTTAAAAAAAAAAAAAAAAAAACATTCAAAATGAAAAGCAAACAACACCTATTACATTGTACACCTATTACAAAATTTTGTATTGTACCTTAAGTCCTCTTTAGGTCTCTGGAGTTAGTCAATAACTGGTACCACTTTATTTAATGGCTGTCATAAAACAAGTATGGAGACTGCCATTGCTGGCCTAATTCTGAAAATACTGCTTGCCTGATTGTTCATAGTATTTGTCAATGTCACAGACTGGAAAAAAGCATGTAGCAAATTACTATTTTTATTACTAAAAAAGAGTCCACATTCTTTGTCTAGCTTTGTTTTAGGTCTGTAACTCAGAATGTATTGAAGCCTAGGTATCAGACAGCCAGGAAACTAGCAATTTAGTAAAGGTGAGTAATGGCAGTCCCTATAATACCATTGCTAATCTGGTATGACATTCTGAAGTTCAAAAATGATAATGTTCTTGCTTCTTAACTAGAAGTGCATTTCTGGGGGAAAAAGAAACACCCGATTACAAACCCAACACCCTTAATACAATTAGTCCAGCACTAGGACAAAACATGAATTATCTGTACATAGGCACTTGACTGGTTATTTACACACATAAAAGAAATACATTCATAAGTCACACAATTCTGATATCCATAACTGTTTTGAAGATTGCAGTACATATTTAATTCATTTGGAACACATGAAAACAGTCCAAAAAGGAGTGCTGGAAGCAAGTTTTAAATATTTAACCGAAAATATGGTTTGATTTGCCCACGCCGAGCTGTCACTTTTAATGGCACATCATGTGTTGCCATTTCATAATCCTTTGGTATAAAAGGTCAGATGTTCAAAGCAGTAGCTGACCTATAACTGTTACATCCTCACATATTATATTCCAGTGGCACCAATAATCTGCATTCAGACACATCTATGCCTCTTACAGAATTTGCAGGATGGACTTCCCGTGATGTAATACTTAAGTGAAGCCACCTCATTGCAGTTAGAATACTTATTATTGGAGTTATCAGTGACAACTTAAGTGGAGTCATTTCTCTTTTGATATAAGACTCTGATAGGACTCTGTCCTTCATTCACCCATGAGGTAGTCAGGTAGAAAATCAGTCCTGCTTTACACTTTACTTCTTTCTGGGGTGGCTTCAGTCTGCATTCTCCTCCTGGGAAAAAGCTTTCTTTTTAGTGCAATCAACTGTAAAAAAAAAAAAAATATATAATGTAATTATTAAAATGTGTGTAAACCCCAACAATGAACTTCTCTTACTTGCAACATTTTTGATCTGTTTTGTTTTGTGTACACAATTAAAAAAAAATCTGTTGATCTCGCTAAAAATTCATGGAGCTTGCCAGTTCCTGAGCACGCTTGCAGTACTATCAGCCCTCTAGAATCAATATAGTGCAGAGCAACCTAAAAAAAAATTAATAAATAAGTCCAATATAATAATTGAAATCTAGCTATACACATACAGCGCCTTGAAAAAGTATAGATACCCCTTGACATTTTCCACATTTTGTCATGTTACAACCAAAAATGTAAATGTATTTTATTGGGATTTTATGTGATAGACCAACACAAAGTGGCACATAATTGTGAAGTTGAAGGAAAGTGATAAATGGTTTTCAACATTTTTTACAAATAAATATGTGAAAAGTGTGGCGTGCATTTGTATTCAGCCCCCGAGTCAATACCTTGTAGAACCACCTTTCGCTGCAATTACAGCTGCAAGTCTTTTTGGGGATGTCTCCACCAGCTTTGCACATTTAGAGAGTGATATTTTTGCCTATTCTTTGCAAAATAGCTCAAGCTCTGTCAGATTGGATGGAGAGTGTCTATGAACAGCAATTTTCAAGTCTTGCCACAGATTCCCAATTGGATTTAGATCTAGACTTTTTAATTGGGCCACTCTAACACATGAATATGCTTTGATCTAAACCATTCCATTGTAGCTCTGGCTGTATGTTTCGGGCCGTTGTCCTGCTGGAAAGTAAACCTCCGGCCCAGTTTCAAGTCTTTTGCAGATTCCAACAGGTTTTCTTCTAAGATTACCCTGTATTTGGATCCATCCATCTTCCCATCAACTCTGATCAGCTTCCCTGTCAAAAGGGTTTTTTTTTTTGCCTTTAAAAGCTGAGCTTAAAAAATGCCTCTAGACTACATAATGTGCATGGACACATAGGGTAACATTAGTTGCTTCTACATGCAAAACGCTAAACTCCTCTAGGATCAGCATTTTTAAAGCCAGTGTGCATCGAGCCTAAAAGTGTCATAACTAGAATAAAAAAAAAACAAAAAAAAACAGTGCTCTTTGTGTTGTTTCCAACACCAGTGAAACAATGGCCGCTCATCTTAAGAATATGACCCCTGTATTACCAGTCAGGTCATAAAATTGCTTGCCCCCTTCAATGGATAACTCTCCTGGTGTTCACAAGTCCTCTCTCTTAGTCAGCACATATAAAAAAAATCCCTTGATCGGCATTGTTTTTTTTATTCAAGATATTACACTTTTAGGGTAACGGTGAACTTTATTACAGGTTTACAGCTGGATTTCAATAATTCTATTGGACTTAATAATTTTATTTTAACTTGCACTTCTATATTGATTCTAGAGTTTGTTAAAAGTGTGGTGAAGTCACTTTTTCAGCGTTCAGCTAGCAATCTATTCTATTTTTGCACATTAGTTGGTTGATTGTTTTGCGTGATATTTAGCTATTGTTGTGTGGTTTGATTTTTGTTATATTATTCTTAGCCCTGCGTTTCTCATGACATGTTCTAGGGCAGCCACCCAAAAGAGCAAAGCAGAAGGTATTTACTTCAATTGCTCTGTTAAGGTATAATCCTGAAAAACAGGGTCGTGTTAGATATTCATTGCTCTGGTCCAGTTAGCTGCAGTTTTGCATCCTGAATTGCAGCACATGCTGGTTGCAGGGCTGGACCTGCAAGAAGAAAAAGAGCCTTTAAAGCGATAATAAACCCAAAACCAGAAGGCAATATATTGCCACTCCTGAAGATGTCATGATGACGAAACGCGCTGGGAAGAGCTAGTAGCATACCTGGAGGAGGAGAGTGTGATTTACCGAACACTGTGAGGGGACCATTGGAGTGGAGAGATTTCACCTGACAGTAGAAGGGTAAGGAGTGGAAAAGGTCTCAACCTAAGTGCATTTGACCTGCTTAACAATTTGTGGTGAGTGCGGTTTTGGTGGGGGGGAGCACGACTGCATTCATAGGATTTATCATCCATATGTCATGAAGTTTGCGGTCACGCATAACTAAATCACTAGAACTGTCACAACAGATGTGAAAGGGGTAAGGTAGTTTTGAATATTATTTAATGATTTATGGTTATTGGACTGATTTAAGTTGGTTGGACATTGATTTATAAGTTTATTTCACCTATAGTGACAATATTGGAGTTACAGTGGATATAAAAGGTCTACAAACCCCTGTTAAAATGTCAGATTTCTATGATAAATATAAAAAAATGAGACAAAGATAAATAATTTCAGATCTTTTTCCACCTTAATGTGACCCATAAACTGTACAACTCAATTGAAAAACAAACTGGTATCTTTTAAGGGGGGGGAGTAAAAAATAAAAAACTAAAATAATGCGGTTGCATAAGTGTGCACACCCTCTTATAACTGGGGATGTAGCTGTGTTCAGAATTAATCAATCACATTCAAAATCATGTTAAATAGGAGTCAGTACACACCTGCCATCATTTAAAGTGCCTCTGATTGACCCCAAATAAAGTTCAGCTGTTCTAGGAGGTCTTTCCTGACATTTTCTTAGTTGCATTCTACAGCAAAAGCCATGGTCTGCAAAGAGCTTCCAAAGCATCAGAGGGATCTCATTGGTAAAAAGTATCAGTCAGGAGAAAGTACAAAAGAATTTCCAAGGCATTAGACAGACCAAGGAACACAGTGAAGACAGTCATCATCAAGTGGAGAAAATATGGTGCAACAGTGACATTACCAAGAACTGGACTTCCCTCCAAAATTGATGAAAAGACGAGAAGAAAACTGGTCTGGGAGGCTGCCAAGAGGCCTACAGCAACATGAAAGGAGCTGCAGGAATATCTGGCAAGTACTGGCTGTGTGGTAAATGTGATAGCAATCTCCCGTATTCTTCATATATTTGGGCTATGGGATAGAGTAGCAAGACGGAAGCCTTTTCTTATGAAGAAAAACATTCAAGCCTGGCTAAATTTTGCAAACACACATCTGAAGTCTCCCAAAAGCATGTGGGAAAATGTGTTCTGGTCTGATGAAACCAAGGTTGAACTTTTTGACCATAATTCCAAAAGATATGTTTGGTGCAAAAACAACACTGCACATCACCAAAAGAACACCATACCCACAGTGAAGCATGGTGGTGGCAGCATCATGATTTGAGGCTGTTTTTCTTCAGCTGGAACTAGGGCCTTAGTCAAGGTAGAAGTAATTATGAAGTTCCAAATACCAGCCAATATTGGCACAAAACCGTCAGGCTTCTGCTAGAAAGCTGAACATGAAGAGGAACTTAATTTTTCAGCATGACAACAACCCAAAGTATACATCCAAATCAACAAAGGAATGGCTTCACCAGAAGAAGATTAAAGTTTTGGAATGGCCCAGCCAGAGCCCAGACATGAATCCGGTGGAAAATCTGTGCGGTGATCTGAAGAGGGCTGTGCACAGTAGTTTCCCCTCGGAATCTGCCAGATTTGGAGTGTTTTCGCAAGGAAGAGTGGGCAAATATTGCTAAGTCAAGATGTACCATGCTGATAGACTCATACCCAAAAAGACTGAGTAGTGGAATCAAATCAAAGGTGCTTCAACAAAGTATTAGTTTCAGGGTGTTCACACTTATGCAACCATATTATTTTAGTTTTTTTTTTTATGTTTACTTCCCTCCACCTAAAAGATTTCAGTTTGTTGTTCAACTGAGTTGTACAGTTTATAGGTCACATTAAAGGTGGAAAAGGTTCTGAAATTTATCTTTGTCTCATTTTTTTACATCACAGAAACCTGACATTTTAACAGGGGTGTGTAGACTTTTTATATCCACTGTATATATGTTTCATTATATTTCTTTTATAATTAATTAATGCGTGCGGAAACACAGACACTTGTTGACTTGGCAGAAAGTTTATAGGGTTGTTTGGAATACCCCTAGCTACAAATCCTCATGGCGTACGGGCGGGAGGAAGTGCCTAAGTACCATATAAGGACTCTAGGCAGAAGTGGCAGTTAAATGTGCGACCTGTGGTGTGATGTAACTCCTGGTCATCCACCAGAGACTAAGCTCTGAGTGGTTGACCTTTAGCACCAAATCTGAAAAATGTACACTGTAGTGAATAGAATTCAAATATTGCCCTAGACCACAACGCTGGGCTGTATATAAAGTCCAGGCTTTGCCCATTACAGTAAGCATACCCCCCAAAGGGGTCTTCAGGGTCTGTGTTCCACAGGGATGAACCACAGTCCTGGACCTGTATAGCATCCTACATCTGACTACAATGCACTGCAAAATGCAAGTGCCAAGGTGAGTGACCCTGCAGGATTAGGTGCCCAAAGCAACATTAAAGTCCATCCCCACAGTATGAGATCCAGGCACAGTTACCAAGGCTTACCAAGGTTGTTCCAAACTGGATGCACTGCTTCTAATTGTGGCATTGGCAGGCAGTGAGGAATCAATGAAAGAATTTGAAGAAAAAGTAATAAAGGAAACTAAAAAAGTGGTTTAAACCAAGAGTGATTTCTCTGTGAAGTAGAAGAGATCCATCACCCTAGAACACCAGCAAAAAACTGAGGACTCACAGAGTGGAATAGGGTTAAAGGGGAGGCACCCAAAGGGCATGTCCTTAATAGCTTTGCCAGTGTCCAATCACCTGAAGGTAGGAGCCTATAACCCAATGAATGTGAATACCTTGCTTATGTCCTGTACTGCACAATTAAAATACATTTTTTTCTGCGTAATGAATCAGTAGGAATTTAGCAGCACCAGAACGAAAAAAATTACCTGTTCAGCAAAAAAGGAGATGACTGTAAACACAATCAACGTAGCCAATACACAATGTGTCCAGAACTTAAGTTTGTCTCTGTAATGTCTCCTAAAAGCACAAAAATTGTTGATAATATTTTATATAAAAAAAAGGTTATAAACAAATCTACATCGGTACACAACCACAGAAATTCCAGACACAAAGTGAAAACAATAAATAGGCTAAATTTACCCTAAAGTGCATCTAAAACATACTTTTTTTAAATGTTTTGGATAGAGTGATGAGGGACTGAACGTCTCTCAGGTACTCTTGCTGTGCTCCTGCTAGGGAGTTTCACCCTTCTCATTTGTCCTTGTGACTGAAAGTGATGGAAAACAGCAGAACAGGAATAGAGAGAACGTTTTCCCACGGGGACACCTGGTCCAAAGAGAAATGGAAAGAAAATCTCCCTAATGGAAAAAAAAGATTATCTATTTCCTACTGCATTCAAAATAAAAATTGCCTTTTTAGCTTTGCTCAAATAAATATATTATCTCAGATTTCAAAAGACGCACCTTATGGCAAAAATGGAAAAAGCAGAAGGACTTTATAATCTGCCTAAACCTAAATAGATTTCTATATTAGTAGCTGTAGAAATGCCACAGCCTGTACTCTATTAAAAAAAGTCCAATTCGCAACCAAGAGTTCAGAAGGATTAATTGGTAACCCAATAAAACTCAGCTGGCTAAATCAATGCTAAGTTCCTATTTCAAGTGTTTATAACAACATTTAAAATGTTTTCTCAGTATCAAAGGATACTTCTAAACCTCACTATACATGTTACAATCTTCCTGCACCAGCGTTGTACAACTTTCTTTTGTGTTATCAAAACTGTAATGTGAAGACTTATGAGATGTATATGAGAAAGTATGGACTGTTTGGGGTCCCAGACATTGTTTACTGAGCTCCTGTGGCTTTTCCTGTACCCTGAGGCAGGCCAGGATGTAACTCTGTTAAGAGACAAATTTTTCGGCCAGTTAACTAATCTTGTGTTTATTTTGCTGAAGAAAGCTGTTTTGTTTGCTTGTAAAGGACCAATAAAGATTGTTTACTTTGCTAAGCGGCTGCCTGATGATCCTGGATTCCGCATATTACACTACACTTAGGATTTTGTTTGCCAGGAATAAGAAGCTCCTATTTGACAAGTTTTTTTATATTATTAATAATAATAATATTAATGAGTTAATAAATGCAGCTTACCACTCCTGCAGTTCATGCATGTGTAAAAAACGGTTGCGGTATTCTCTTGGAAGCTCAAACTGAGAGGGAATTGGAAACAAGGACTCGTAGAAATCCCTTAAAACTGCTTTAACGGTTTGCGCATCCTTGTGATTGTGGTTAATATTGTCATTCAGGCAGATGAATTTCCTAGAACAGTGTATATTATTTTATTTTGTATTTGCAATTCTACTAGAAAACGCAATTTCTGGAAAAGATCATATAAATGTATAACATTTCTCTAGAGAAAATTTACAGAACAAGATAAAAAATAAAAGTTCAAAATAAGCTGAAAATTGTTGACCAAGCAGAGATTGGTGGAAGGAAATTTGTACCCAAATTTTAAGTGTGTTGGGGCACTGACACCAATCTAAATGAAGCAAAGACAATTGCATGTACCTTCAAAACTAATCAAAAGAGGTGAATTTTATGCAAAGGACCCAATTGTTAATAAATGGAATGGCTGGTGTGTCACAGGAAATAGGTCTAGGTACAGCAGGAACTGTAATAGCTACAATATGGTATGGTTTGGAGGAAAAAAATTTCAGAAGGGACAAGGGGCCCCAAAATGCTTTAGATATCTTTAAGCCTGCTTTCTTCAACTAGTTATAGACTTGGGGTATAGGAGACATGTGTAGAAAACCTTAATCAAAGTACCTTGCTATGCCCAGGGACTCCGCACCTGCCATGTAGATGTACAGGACAGGAGTGGATCATATTTTTTTTATAATAAAAAATTGTTCCTATTCAACCCTTCATTAACCATATTTAAATCTAATAAACAATTGTTCCTCTTGATTTCTCATGAACTATTACTTTTCTAGCTAATTCTCATTTCATTTTTTTTTCCATTTATATTTTATGTTTTTTTATTGTTCATTTTTGTGGTTTTACATTAAGAAAATACACATTCTTTTTTCAAAAAGTTTTATTTCCTTTGTAAATAACGTCACTATTTTTGGTACCAAAAAACATATATATAGTAGTGTCATTATGAATAGAAAAAAAAACAGGCCCCGTTCACATCTGGCATTTTGCAATGTCATGCAGAGTCACTTTGATTCTGCCTGTAATCTCAAAAGGCACTACAACAGTGGGAAAATGCACCATGCATGTTCAGGTGCCATTCATTAGGTAGTAAGCACAGTTTTTTTTCCCCCAGAAATAAGATAACATAATATAAAGTTACCATTATTGCAAAAACAATAGGCCATAGCTGAACTGTAATATTTGCTCAGGTCCATAAGGGACATACAGGTGCAGAGTCTCAAGTGGTTTATCATCTACAAATAAACATCAGTACTGTCATTAAGGGCCCATGCACGCTATTAAACACTTCAGCTCTGGAAGAATTATTTCCTCATGTCACTTCCTCACTACCTATCACAGTTTCGGAGGTCCTAAAATGGTAAGAGAGTAAACCCCCCCCAAATGACCCCTTTGTGGAAAGTAGACACCCCAAGGAATTTGACAAGAGGCATTGTGAGTATTTTGCAGATATAATTTTTTTGTCACAGGGTGTTGAAAAAGAAAAGAAAGATATTTGCTTTCTTTCTTAATTTTACAAAAATTTGTGGCAACAAATTAGATCTGCAAAATACTCACTATGCCCCTTAGCAAATACCTTGGGAGTGTCTACTTTCCAAAAAAGGGTCATTGGGGGGGGGGGGGGGGGTGCCTCTAATATCATGGCATTTCAGGGCCATACATTACCCACACTCTTCTAACCACTTGAAGACCAAGCCTTTTCTGACACCTTTTGTTTACATGAATAACCGGTTTTTTTTGCCAGAAAATTATTTGAACCCCCAAACATTATATATATATATTTTTTTTTTTTTAAAGCAGGGGCCCTAGAGAATAAAATGATGAAATGATGGGTGTAGAAATTTTTTATAAGAAACAAGAGATACTTGTGCTCAAATCCCAACAGCTAGTGCATGCATTTATCCATCAGGTGCTAAAGGGGTGTAACCACATATTAACACTAGAAATTCTTTAGCACCTGATGGATAAATGCATGCACTAGCTGTTGGAATTTGAGCACGTATTGCAATATGTGTGAACTAAAAATCCCTATTTATTGCATAGTCTGCTTGAAAGGGTATATACCAGTGTGCAGAGGGTCCTTCAGAATTTCTAGAAAATGTTTATGTCACAGTATCTGTGCAGTGATTTTTCAAATGCAAATGTTTGGGAAAAAATACATTTTGAATTTTAATGCACAAAAACACAACAGGGTTGATTTACCCCTATGAAGCGGGAAAGCCCGAGAAAACCATGAAGGCAGAGGGGAGAACATCCTTTCCCTCTGCTTGTAAAAGTGATCCAGCAGCTAATTAGCCATTAAGATTGCTTTTACATGAATGCCAACAGCCAGCTGAAAAAAAAACAATATCAGGTTGATGCCAGTAGCTGGTCCTTGTTGGGCATATATCACCAGAGTACACTGGCATATGATGAATTAGGTCTGTGGATCAATATGAACGCAATTCATTCTTTTTTGTTATGTCCATGTTGAGAGTTAGGCCCAAAAAAGTTTAAATTCGGAAACCATGATAGGTTTCCATGCAAATTGTTTGGCAAGAGCTGAATTTGTGTGGCCTGTGATTTATTGTTGTGTGTATAAATTGCTTTGGCCCACAATCAATTGATACAAATCTTCTGCGAAAAACAGTGTTGGGGCTAAACGTTAACCCTGGCAGCTGTGCATTTTTGGGGACACTATACTAAAGAGGCACTAGTATAGTTCTGTTCATTATCAATATATTGATCCACACAAACATCATGCTAGTAATGACAGTGATCAGTGATTACCTAGCGTGAGTGTGATAGTGTGCGGGTAATTTAACGCTAGCTGACCCTGGCTGGGAGGGACGATAACTGACCCTGATGAAATCTGATATCGCTAGTGGCAGTAATACAGTGATCAGTGAACAATTCTATATACTGACACTGTACTAGTGGCATGAGCTGGGTGACAGGGTGATAAAAGTGTTAATAGGGGCGATAAAAGGGTTAAATGTGCTAATCTATTGTGTGTGTAAAATGTAGTACTTTTACTCGGTGCAGTGTTCTGTCTTCTTTCCCTGGACCAACAGGGGGGCAGCGGAGGGTGCACACATGTGCTCTCACACCAGGAAATGGAAAGCGTTGTAGGGGTATGTCGCTTTGCCCAGAGCCATCTCTCACCCGCACATTGTGGGCAGGCAGTTGACATGTAGTTAAACAAAAAAACTAAAAAAAAAAAAAAAGTTCTCAATATTTTATTTTTTTAACTTTATTATTATTCTTTTTTTAAACATTTTCATCAGGAGTAGTACAATGTTACCATAGTAACATTACATTACTCTGGGGGGGTTATTGCTCCTGCAATGCAATGCTTGCTTTGAACTGTCATGAATGGGTTAAGTGTATGACAGTTCAAAATACAGTGATCTGTGATTGGCTCCAGCTGGTCACATGGTACAGGGTGTGTGATTGACCCATGTACCATGTGAGAGCTGTGGGCCAATCGCAGCTTACCAGGAAGAAAAGCAAAGCTGTTAAGAATCAGATTGATTCATAACAGCTCTGTTAACATTGTGAGCATGTGACCACTGGGTCCTGATTACCAGGATCCATATTACACTGAGTCCAGCGGATACAGCAGTTTGTGGGGGAAGGGGGGTGGGTGCGCAGTGCCCCGTGTGTTAGGACAGCCAGGTCGACATACAGGTACGTCACAGGTCCTGTAGATGTTGCCTGTCCACAGTACACTTTGGGTGGCCAGTCTTTAAGTGGTTAGGCTTCTGAAAATATACTTTGAAGAGTAACTGATTTATAGTATTGATTTTACCTGGGGTTTTTCCTGATGTCATCTAACTGGCCAACCACATGGGAGACATTAGTACGAATCATCTTGAATGCAATGTCTTCTTCTCCCATAATTTCAAATCTTGGAGTAAAGGTAAAATGTTTTTATTTGTAATGAAGCCATGGCAAAATCAAACTCAACTGAACAAATAATTGGTGCATGAGTAATTAGACTAACCTTACCTGTATTTATTCTTATCCTTGTAAGCTTTCCGTATCAAATCAGTTACAGGTTTACAATTAATTACCAGCTGCTTGGTCACTGGCGGCTGTAATAACATATAACAAACTGCAGCTAACAGCAATACAGATAAACAAACATACATACACTCTATAATAATGGTCAGGATTATGTTACACATAGCAGGCTTTAACACAGTGCACAGGGTAGGGATGTAAAACTGCCAATAGCAACTACTGATAATTCAGACTTCAGCATTTAGAGATGTCAAAATAACTACATCTGATCGGTTGCTTTAGGTATCCACACCAAACACTCATGATGTAAAAGAAATTCTATAGATAAAATATTTTTAATATTAATAAAAGCAAAATGAAAAACATTACCTCCCCAGGTTAATATCTAAATCCCAGCAATTATATTAGATGATTTGGATGACAGTCAAAAGTCAGACTGTCAAATGCACATGCAAGAAAAAAAAAATGTAATTTGGAATATGATTGATCACAAACCTGTGAAAAAGTCGCTACTGTGCTAATGTGTGCCCTCCACAACCTGACTTGATCTCATTTTAAAGTTATGCCAACATTACTTTGCATTGCAAGGTAGTGTTAAAAGGGGAATAAAACTCTACCAAAGTAAAATACATATTTTCAGTTTGAGTTTTACCATTTGTCTACATTACACAAATATTGTGAAAACGTTTTATCGACAGAATTTTTTTAAATTGTATATTGAGGCAAGAATCTGGGAGTGTGCAAAACAAGTAAATGGGAACAATTACAGGAAAATACCTATTTTTTTCTAATTTTGCCCTATTCCTCCTAATATCATCCTAGAAAATAAAAATATATGTATCCAGATCTGCTAACAAATTAACATCTTCCTGCCGACCGTACGCATATATGCGGCTTCACGGAAATGGGCTTTATCCGCATATATGCATATCAGTCTTTGTCTGCTGGGAGCGCGCCACATAGCATGCTCCCAGCACAGAGACCAGGCTCTGACCGGGAGCCCCGGGTCCTGCACTAAACATTGGGACCCTGGATTCCCGGTTCAAGGTCACCTGATCCCTGTGATAGCCTCTGATTGGCTATCACAGCAATCAGTCACTCTGCAGCCAACCCCTGTGTTTTCTTTATTTCTGAATGGCGAGGGGAGAAAGATGTAAATAAACAAAAGTGTGTAAAAAAAAAAATAATAATAATGAAAAAAAGGAAAAAATTACTAGATCAAGGTTTGATCTAGCTCAGTGCAAGGGTTAGTGTAAAACCCTTTACAGACGGGGCTGACCCGTCAGCGGATCTGCTTGCTCAACGGGGGATCGCTCTACTGATCCCTGCTGAGAAAGTGGATGACAGTTCTGTGTCCGCTCAGTTGCTTCAAAGCGGACACAGATGTAGCTTACTCTTTTTTATGGGTCGGTCGGATGGAAATGGAACACCTGTCCGTTTCCACCCGACTGTCATCCGATTCACCAGACGGTTGGGGAACAACCGTTTGTTTTTAGTATACTGGATCAGATCAGATGTCGGCCGGTGTCAGCGGACACATGTTACACCCGCTGGTCCTTAGATGGCTATGGATGGTCCGATCAGGTCCGCCTGAAAAACTGATAGGAGGACCCGATCGGACTGTCAGTGTCAGAGACAGTATATTTTGGGCTGGATGTTTTTGAAATAAGCATGTTTTGAATTGTTTCTGGGCTGTACTACGAGTACGCACAACAACTAACATACACATAGTATTGTTGTGATCGTCAGGAGCAGGAGAATTTATTTTGGGTTGTTCCTTTGGTGGTAGGTTATGGTAGTAGCAAGAAATATACAGCTACATCTAAAAAAAAATGTTTTTAATATTTTGGGCCAGTTTTCCTCTGATAATAAAAAAAAAATAAATCAAGAGATATCTGTTACCATTTAGCACAAAAAAAAAGTCCTGAAAATAACAAGGTATAATGCACCCGGATGCGCAAAGTAGTTACGAAGATAAGGTTTACTAACATGTCAAAGTTGCAAGTTGTGTTCAGGCATTAACATTTGTTTTTACCCTCATTCACTAAAGGGTTAAAGCCCTAGTTCTATCTGTTCTGTTCTGTATCTAGTTCTGACAAAAACGATGTGTAACACATTGGGGTAGACTACAAATGCTAAAAGATATAAAGTTACAGAATTGATATGGATACGTCTCTGAAAAAAAAAAAACAAAAAAAAAAAACACAACAAAAAAAAAAAAAACATGCTGTGACTCAAGGGGATTTAGGGAGAAAAAGGCTTGAGAACTCCAGTGGTTAGCAAAAACAATACAATATTTGTTACAAATAAGTAAACTTTACCATATTCGGATCATAATAGGATTCCTGAGTTGCCGGAGTAAAAAAATTCTCAGTACTATTAAACTGTACAGTTTTGGAGCAGTTGATAAGCATGTGTTCCAATCCAGTCAGATCCTAAGAAGAATAATAATGCCCAATATTTTCAGTACATTAGCTTGATAATGCAAAATGCACTCTTGTACTTTGTATTATGTTCATTAAATGCCATTCTTTATTGCTTCTAGACCAATAATCCTAAAATGCTTTAACTTAGTTTGTAAAAAATGATGTCGGTGCCATTTTTTTAATAAATATGCAAACATTCCTTTATCTGTAGGGAAACTTAGAGGTTTAGTATGTTTATGTTGCTTATAGTTCTGTGATATCTGCACATAATTGAACCACTGCAAATGAAGTTAGTTGCATATATAGATATGCCTCTATCAAAATATCACTTTTTTATGTAATGTATAATAAATTACATTAAACTCCTAGGTTGGTACTGTATGCTCATGGGCTTCCAGCTTAGAATATCCATAGAGGATGGATTTTCTTTTTTTTTTCACAATCAATTGCTGATCCTGTGATTTAGTATACTTAAAGTAGAACTGTGGGCAAAACTTTTTTTGAATAAAGCAAGGGAGGGTTATAACCCCTGTCATATATTTTCCTTTTTTTGCAGAGATTTCTCTTCACTTCCTGTCCAATAGTCAAACAAGATGTCCGAGGAAAACCCTGCAAATTAAGGGAATGCCTTGGGGACCCCCAAGTCACCAGAACTAGTGTCCCCATTCTAATAAACCAGGCTGTAATTAGAAGATGTTGGGCCATAATAACAGAGGCAAAAAGTCTATCAGCCATTCTTGGCAAAACTTCCTGCTATCTTGGCAGTATGGATTATTCATCTTCAATATATTTTCTCCCTTAAAATGGATATACAGTTGTGCTCATAAGTTTGCATACCGTGGCAGAAATTGTGAAATTTTGGCATTGATATGGTCATTGGTGCAGTAAAAGCTTCTTCCTGGCACCTTGACCAAACAGTTCATTTTTGTTCAAGTATCACCGTATTGTACTCCTTAAAAACAACCACACCATCTTTTTCCAGAGCGGCCTGTATTTTTCTTGTGGTTACCTATGGGTTTCCCTTTGTATCCCGAACAATTCATCTGGCAGTTGTGGCTGCAATCTTTCTTGGTCTACCTGTACTTGGCTTGGTATCAAGAGATCCCTGAACTTTCCACTTCTCAATAGGTGATTTAACAGTACTGATTGGCATATTCAAGGCTTTGGACATCTTTTTATGTCCTTTTCCATCTTTATAAAGTTCCATTACCTTGTTACGCAGGACGTTTGACAGTTCTTTTCTGATCCCATGGTTCAGTATCTAGCCTAATCAGTGCTTTCACGTAAGAGCTAACAAACTCATTGACTATTTATACACTGACACTAATTGCAATTTAAAAAGCCACAGATGTGGGACATTAACCTCTAATTGGCATTTTAACTCGTGTGTGTCACCTTGTGTGTCTGTACCAAGGCCAAACATTCCAGGGTATGTAAACTTTTGATCATGGCCATTTGGGTGATTTCTGTTATCATTATGATTTAAAAAGGAGCCAAACAACTATTTGATACTAAATGACTTCATATGACCATCATCCTTCAAAAAAAGAGCATTTTTTGGCATGTTCAGTCATATTTGCAATATCAATGCCAAAATTTCACAATTTCTGCCAGGGTATGTAAACTTTTGAGCACAACTGTACACTATGTGCAGACTTTTCACTTATTGAAAACATCCTCCTCAAGCATCTTGAATATCTAGGCTGCTGATCTGCTTCTAAACATGCTAGTTGCCTGGCTGCATTGCTTGTAAATACGTTGAATCACTGACCTGAAAAAAGTAGGCAGCAAGTGAAGTCAAAGCACTGAAGGCAATGGGTCAACTGACAGCCAGAAAATCAGCATTTTCAGAATAAGTCAATAAGAGCAGCACATTATTTTCTCTCGGCTCTTGTTTTGGTTATATTGTTAAGAAAGTAATGGAGGCATCTGAAGCATCCTTCAGATGAGCCCCCTTATAATCCAGGGAGTGCCTTCTGATATTTATGTATCATCTGTCAAACACACCACTCCACAGAAGCTTGACACTTGCCAATATATTGTAAGGGGAGTGTTTGCATACAGTTTTGAAATCTCTACTTGTAGAAGGATTTTCCGCTTGTGAGAAACTTCTCTATCCCGTCATGTGGACTATTCTCACACCTGACAGTCAGCTGTCTTTAGCATTTGCAAATGGTCTACATATTGAAAGGTGGACAGAGTAAGTGTCACACTAGTCATATACAATATGTCACATTTGTATATATCTATTTGCTCACCATCTATCCACTATAGACATTTTGGTTAAGCTGTACAATAAAATGTAGGTTGGGGTAATCCATAAAACAGACATGTGAAAATTATCATCATGTAGATACTTTAAATTATATGTGAACCCTTACCTTGTAATACAACCCCTTCAGTTAAAAATAGAAAAGAAAGGCAAAACATTTGAGTATACATACAAAAAACATTATAGACACATTTTCTACCTTTTTTTGTAAGTGATTACGTACCCTCTGTTCTCATCTGCATAAAAGCTAGAGGAGGAGAAACAGCAGCACACTGAGATGTTCCCAGAGAAAGGCTGTGCAGTGGAGGGGGGGGGGGGGGGTGTCAACAGAAGTTTGATTGGATGAAAGCACACTGACTTCTAAGCACAGCTGACCATGCTGTGCTCTCATGCCTAGTGTGCTCAGTTTTTAATGGGAAAGCAGAGAAACTGTCAGGAACACCACGTATTTCAACCAAAGGGAGCAATAAGAAGATGACAGGATTCATTTTCATGCAAGTACAGGGTACAGCAGGCACATATCAAGAATATGAAATTTTGAGTCAACATATTCATATAGCAGTATATTTAATGTTATACCTGTAAACTCAGTGGCAAATGATTTATTCTTGTCGCTAGCGTCCGAATCTCCCTGTCAGACAGCACTCCTGTGCTATCAGTGTCAACTTCATAGAATATCTGTGAGATATTTAGTGGCTGGATGGCACTCATCAGATAGTAAAAAAAAGAAAAGGCAAACTGCATATCTTCCGACTGACGCACTTTATGGGCAGATGTCTTGTCAAATGCTGCTGGAAACCTGCACAGATAATAGTATCACAACCCATGAGACAACAAAGGGATGCATACCTAAATCAAGCCAACACCTTTAAAAATGTTGTATTTTAAGATGACTGCTGACAATAAATAGCTAATGTAACATTTTATAGCACTACATATGTACAAAGATGAAAACAGAGAATGGAAATTTAGGTTTGTCATCGATAGCATGCAGATGTACGTTTGCACTCAGGATTATTGATATAACAATAATGTCAAGTTAACTATTCTAGACAGGGACCAATACAAAATTATTTTCTTAGTAATAAAGGATAATAACACTTTTTTTTTTTGTAAGATTGAAAAGGTTCCCTGGGCCATTGCTATATTTTTTTTTTTTTTTTTTTTTTTTTTTTTTTTTTTTTAGAGTAGAAGGAATATTGAACAACATCCCTTGTGATAGCATGGGTTGTTACAGGTCCTCTTTTTGGAGAGATCTGGGGTTTCTCTCCTCTGGCCTCCAAAGCATCTGATCAGTTTGATCAGATGCTGTGTAAGCCGTTAACAGCTTGTAAACAAACCAAAATCGGAAGTGATGATGTCCTCATAATTTCTGGTTTCTGATATCATAGAAGAGAGGTGGGAACTTCTGTTACTCTTTAAGGGGATTGCAACCCAACCGGTTACATTAGTACCGGACTCCCCAATGGGATGGTAGAGACTGGAAAAGATGATGGCAAGAGGGGGGGTAACCCCCTCCGCCATCTGTAAAAGCGATTAAGAGTCTGTACTTTTACCTAAAAGAAGCCACGGCAAAAGAAGCCACAGCAGCCAGACTCATCCACCTTACCAACTGCTCCGTTTCCGCCACCCCCCTCTGCCAATCCCTCCACTGGCTTCTGATTGCCCAACGGATCAAATTCAAAATCCTAACACTGATGTACAAAGCTGTCCATCATACTGACCCAAACTACATCACCGACCTAATATCTAAATACTACCCAACATGCACTTTCCGCTCCTCAAAAGACCTCCTTCTCTCTAGTTCCCTGGTCTCCTCCTCCCATGCCCGCCTCCAGGACTTCTCCAGGGCGTCACCCATCCTCTGGAACTCCCTAACCCAATCCATCAGACTATCACCTACTCTCCTATCCTTTAGGCGCACCCTGAAAACCCACCTCTTCAGGGAAGCCTACCCCACCCACTGCTAATTGCCAACCTCCTCCACTCTTCCTACCACTCCATCCCCCACAGCCATTTCCTCCTGTACCACTATCCCCTCCCTCCTAGATTGTAAGCTCGAAGGAGCAGGGCCCTCGAACCCCTCGTGTATCACATTGTATTGTTATCGTACTGTCGCATGTTCTGTCTCCCATTGTAATGTACAGCGCTGAGCGAACTGTTGGTGCTTTATAAATACTGTATAATAATAAAAAAAATAATAAAAGAAAATCTCCATAGGAAAAAACAGGACCATGGATGCACCACTGCACCAAAGCCTTATATATACACGGCCTATGGGTGGTAAGTTATTAAAAGAGACAAATTATAAAATATAATTTTGACTTTTTACCAACAGTAACACCACTTATTTTAAAATCAACACTGATCAACATAGAAAAAAGTTTTTTTTTATAGTTTTGTAACTTTTTTGTCTATGGATTGCATACAAATAAAACCATTTTTGTGAAACGATATCACCAAAAAAATCTGTTTCTGTTTTAAAAAATGATATATATATCCATTACTTTGTTATTTTATAGCGGTTCTTCAGTCAGGTTTAAAAAAAAAATAAATAAAAGTCAGCCGGTACAAATACTGTAGCAGCTGACGTTTAATACGACACTTATCTGTCTGGGAGTTCTCGCGTCGTCCTCACCCAGGCAATTCCAGAAAACTAGACACCCACACCCCCCCCCCCCCAAAAAAAGCTCCAAAAGAAGAAGAGGAAGAGGGCATAATCTGAGACTTCCCCTTTAGGGTGAAGTTCCACTTTAAAGCGGAGTTCCACTCATTCTGTAACAAAAACTGTAGCTGCTGACTTTTAAAAAAACAGCCACTCACCTGTCCCACAATCCCGCGTTGCCCCTGCTACAGCCCGTTTCACCTGCCGTCCTGTATTCCAGGCGCCGGCATGTTCAGTGTGGGCACCCGGCTGTGACTGCTTGCGGCTTCACAGCCGGGTGCCCACTGCGCATGCGAGTAGCACTGTGCTTCCTGAATGGCCCTGTCGTCTTCTGGGACCTGTCACGTGTCCCACAACACTTTTGGGAGGGAGGGTAGGAGGACAACTTTCGTTTCTGATCGCCTAGGCGATTGCAGTGGAAGTGGGAGCGGGTACCTGTCAAATTCGGGTACCCGTTTCCCCCCAGTTCCCCAAAGGTGCCAATCCTTAATGGGGAGCAGGGGCCAATCTTTAAAGCCGAATTCCCCCTTTTGGGTGGAACTCCACTTTAAGTAATGACAATGTTAGTGCCGAATAAACAGACCCATGGCAGAAATGTCAAATTTACATTAGACAACAGATGGTGTCTAGGTGTGAGAGCTAAATTGGTTAAAAGCACTATTAGAAGACCTTGTAACAAGGTTTACATAACTGCACATGTTTCTTCCAAATGTATGGCATATTACACTTTTGGCTAAACCTTTAAGTTATTCTTTTATATATGTATAGTATCTATCTAACTATCTATCTAACTATTACAGGTATTTGTATAGCACCAACAATTTACTCAGTGCTTAACACATATTATACATTCATATCAGTCCCTCAAGGAGCTTACAGTCTAAAGTCCCTGTCTCACATGTATGCAGTACTAGCATTAATTTAGACAGGAGCCAATTAACCTACTATCATGTCTTTGGAGTGTGGGAGGAAACCGGAGCACCCCTTGGAGAACATGTAAACCCCATGTAGGTAGTGTCATGGTTGGGATTCTGACCAATTTCCCTAGTACTCTAAAGCAGAAATGCTCACCACTGAGACACTGTGCTGTCTATATATTTACATACATATACGCTGAATATTTATTTTAAGTACATGGTCTGATTTATTATATTGCAGCTTGCAGTGATAGCTAGTGCAGAAAAACACACCAAAACAATTTTCTTTACATTATCGTGTGAGCATAGTGATGTATGGGTAACATAATTATTGCAGTATTTAGAATGTTGGCTACAACTTCAAAAGGAAAGAAAAGCTGTCAAGAGAGGGGAGGGGGCACTTCATCTGAGCAAGCCACCTGGTGACAAGTATACTTACAAATCCTGAAGTTCTTGCATAACGATACGGTCAATCATGTGTGGCATGTGAGCAGGAACTTTCCGAGACGTGAAGCCAAATTTACCATTAAGGAGTTTATTCACATAACGGAGGGAATCAGCAAATGTGTCTTGAAGTTTCCTTCCAACTTTCTTGCCATTGGTGATATAAGAAAGTTCACCGAGTAGAGAATCTTTCTCCTGAAAGACAAAATGATTAGTAGATGGTTTTATGTGGTTGCCTAACTGAGAATATATCACAAGACCACTTGGGTTACCTTACAGGACCAACTAGCTGAAGACCGTAGAGACAGGGACTCAGTAAATTTCACCAGAGGATCAGTCATGTCTATAAACTTTTATTACTTGTTATATATTTGAGCTCTAGTCGGATATTAATTTTAGCAGTCATTGCGAAAACTGCAGAGAAATGATAGGATAAATAAGAAAACAACATCCAAACCACAGATGCTGTCACGTATGGTAGTATGGAAAGACTGTTAAACGCAATATCACCTATGGGATAATTCAAGACATTGGTACAAAGTGCAACAACTAGCTGCAAAGTGCAGTTACCATAGTGTGCGCACTGTGTGTGTGTGTTTGTGTATATATATGTGTATATATTGTGTGTATATATATATATATATATATATATATATATATATGGCTCTTTTGCTCAGAGAATAGGTGCAGGTACTCCCCACTCCTAAGTCACCCCTTGCCTCTGCCCCCTACCCACCTCTGAACTCCATCCCTTGGTTCCACCCCCCTACCCACCTCCCAGTATTGCCCCTTACAGGGAATAAAAAACCATTCATTGTGGTGCTAAGTAGTTTTTACAAATTTTTTTAATAATAAGAAAAGCAGTAAAATAGATCCCCTGCATCCAGCAACAACAGACCCTCCCCCCAGCAACAATAGAGCCACCCCAACAACAATATACCCCTGCCAGCAACAACAAATTCCCCAGCAGCCAGCATCAATAGGCCCTCCAGCTTACATCACCACCCCATGTCATTACATATATTCAGTGCTACGTTCTACGTTCCCGCTGAAACAAAAGCCATATATACAGTATCTCACAGAAGTGAGTACACCCCTCACATTTTTGTAAATATTTTATTATATCTTTTCATGTGACAACACTGAAGAAATGACACTTTGCTACAATGTAAAGTAGTGAGTGTACAGCTTGTATAACAGTGTAAATGTGCTGTCCCCTCAAAATAACTCAACACACAGCCATTAATGTCTAAACCGCTGGCAACAAAAGGGAGTACACACCCCTAAGTGAAAATGTCCAAATTGGGCCCAAAGTATCAATATTTTGTGTGGCCACCATTATTTGCCAGCACTGCCTTAACTCTTTTCGGCATGGAGTTCACCAGAGCTTCACTGGTTGCCACTGGAGTCCTCTTTCACTCCTCCATGACGATATCCCGGAGCTGGTGGATGTTAGAGACCTTGCGCTCCTCCACCTTCCATTTGAGGATGCCCACAGATACTCAATAGGGTTTAGGTCTGGAGACATGCTTGGCCAGTCCATCACCTTTGCCCTCAGCTTCTTTAGCAAGGCAGTAATCATCTTGGAGGTGTGTTTGGGGTCGTTATGTTGGAATACTGCCCTGTGGCCCAGTCTCCAAAGGGAGGGGATCATGCTCTGCTTCAGTATGTCATGTTGGCATTCACACTCATGCACCCTCAGACCATGACACTCCCACCACCATGCTTGACTGTAGGCAAGATACACTTGTCTTTGTACTCCTCACCTGGTTGCTGTCACACACACTTGACACCATCTGAACCAAATAAGTTTATCTTGGTCTCATCAGACCACAGGACATGGTTCCAGTAATCCATGTCCTTAGTCTGCTTGTCTTCAGCAAACTGTCTGTGGGCTTTCTAGTGCATCATCTTTAGAAAAGGCTTCCTTCTGGGATGACAGCCATGAAGACCAATTTGATGCAGTGTGCGGCGTATAGTCTGAGCACTGACAGGCTGACCCCCCACCTCTTCAACCTCTACAGCAATGCTGGCAGCACTCATACGTCTATTTCCCAAAGACAACCTCTGGATATGACACTGAGCATGTGCATTCAACTTCTTTGGTCGACCATGGCGAGGCCTGTTCTGAGTGGAACCTGTATTGTTAAACAGCTGTATGGTCTTGGCCACCGCGCTGCAGCTCAGTTTCAGGGTCTTGTTAATTTTCTTATAGCCTAGGCCATCTTTATGTAGAGCAGCAATTCTTTTTTCCAGATCCTCAGAGAGTTCTTCCCCATGAGGTGCCATTTTGAACTTCCAGTGACCAGTATGAGAAAGTGAGAGCGATAACACCAAATTTAACACCTGCTCCCCATTCACACCTGAGACCTTGTAACACTAAGGAGTCACATGACACCAGGGAGGGAAAATGGCTAATAGGGCCCAATGTAACTCCTAGATTGTAAGCTCGAAAGAGCAGGGCCCTCGATCCCCTCATGTTTTGCATTGTATTGGTATTGTTCTGTCACATGTTCTGTCCCCCTTTGTAATGTACAGCGCTGAGCGAACTATTGGCGCTTTATAAATACTGTATAATAATAATAATAATAATGTAGACATTTTCACTTAGGGGTGCACTCACTTTTGTTGCCAGCGGTTTAGACATTAATGGCTGTGTGTTGAGTTATTTTGAGGGAACAAAAGTATTTACAAAAATGTAAGGGGTGTACTCACTTCTGTGAGAACACACACACTCACACACTATATTTTCTGAAAAGTCTCTACACGGTGTCTGACTTTCAGAAAGTTTCACAGATAACTCTGCAGTGAGTCTATTAAAGTGGACCTGAAATTAAAAAGTTCGTGTGTTGCAGGGAACATTTGGAAATGTAATTGTGCCTAAGCAGGGCCCTGAAAAAGTACCTTTTTTGAATTCCTCAAAATAGCAGTGCACTTCCTGGTATGCTAGTGTGCCTGGGCACCCCTGTACCTATAGCCTCAAAGCTTCAAAGTCACTACTAGTCTGCTCAATGTTTTCTTTGCTTAAGGTTTTGACATAAGAAAGATAAACCCTGCCTCTACAAAGATGACTGTCTCCACACAGAGACACAGTGCAATACTCATGATAAGTCTTTTGCCCTCTGTTTTTCTTTTGGGTACAGCTTCCAAAGTTCTTTCCTCTTTAACTATGCATGATAGCTATCGTGATTTTGTGGACCACAGTGTGCCTTAACCATCTCTCTGCCAGGCCCTGCACTCCACATTTACACTTAGATGGCCACACAAATTTTGCAATTTTTTCCCCACTTTCACAGTTTGTAAAAGACCCCCATATGACACATCTTCTAAATGCAAAGGTCTGGTAAAATAGAAAGAAGGCGCTACTGTTTTTTAGGTGCCCGACAGTTGAGCAAATGTTTATCAGAATTATATTTTCGCTAAATATACAATAAAATCATTATTAGCAGATAGACAATATAAATTACAAAATTCCTGCTTAATTTCTTACTCAATTTAAAAGCAAAAACTGTATTGAGTATATATTAGTACATTTTAAATTGTGCTTTTTTTGCCGAAAATCAAAAGGTACGCAAAACTGTAAGTAAGCAAATTACTCTATAAATCTGGATTTTATCATTTTTCACTTACAGCTTTCAGAGTTTGTAAAAGATTCCCTCAAACCACATATTATCTGAAAGCATAGGACTGATAGGATAAAAAGATGGTGTCACTGATGTTGTAGGTCCTGCAATAGTTGTGCAAATGTTTATGTAAAACTATATTTTTGCTAAAAAAAAAAACACTAAAATCTTTATTAGTAGACACAAGCACAACATAACTTACAAAATCCCTGTTAAATTTCTACTAACTCTAAAAACTAAAACTTACTGAGTTGATAAATAAATAATTCTAAATTTTAGATTGTGCCTTTTTCTAAAAAGGGTGAAAAAAGGTACGCAAAACTGCAAATAAGCAATCTGAAGGTTGGCTATGCATGCTGCTACTGCCCAATCGCAGTGCCACGTGTGCGCTGCATTGGTGTACATGATGATAAGTTGATGCAGGCATTTATTTTACTACAATGCACTGTGTTACAATGTGTGGCAACTTGCCGCAATGTACTCACACAAGTAGAGTTGAGGGAAAGTCATTTAAAAGAGAATAGAAAAAACAAAACAAAACCAAGTATTGCAGTGCACTGTAAAAAAGGGCTGCAGTGGTTGTATACAACACATATCAACGCACGCGGGTTATATGCACCATAACACATAGCCACTGATGTAAATGGGCCCTTAGCGTGTTGCTGCAATGAAGATGCATGCAGACAGCCTATGTTCCACTATGGGGATGCTTCAGCTGTACAAACACAGCTGCAGTGTATTCATACAGCTGCCAATTTGACAGGCATGCATGTGTGAACCCCAGAATGTTTATAGGCCTGCTAAATTAGGACCTGAAGCTGTGTTTGTACAGCTGCTGCATCCCTACAGAGCAACATAGGTTTCCTGCATGCATCTCCAAGCGTCTCCAGCCGCATAAACAAACAGCGCACTTATGCTACATAGGTCAGAGTGCCTGTGTGAACAACCCCTTAAGTAAGTTTTTTAATTTTTTTTTTTTTTACAATTTTATTTTTTTTACAGCCCTGTTGGGGGTAGGGGGGCTTTGGTGAGCTATCAGGGTAGGGTATCAGAGTCTGTAGGGTTCTGAGTATATATTCTCTGTAGGGGGGGGGGGGGGGGGGAATTAGAGCAGAAGTAGGGTGAGAAATAAGAGAGGCAGGGGGCATTTAAAGGATTTAGAGAGGGAGCAGGGAGATGATAGAGCTGTGGGGGGTTGGCTGGGGGAGCATGGTGGCAGTGAGAGTCACATTTTAGGTAAATAGCTGCAATAAGTGTCTTGTCAGCCTCTAATCATAGCTATTCTTTTAATTAGCAGAGTCTAAACATTTCTGCTGTACGTTCATGGTCACTGAATTGACCATGAGCTACCAGCAGCAAAGGAATACATCCAATGTATGGCATACTGACCTCGCCATCTGGAAACAGTTCTGTAGGTCCATTTGCTTTATGTCCATAGCATTAAAGTGGTTGTAAACCTCAGACATGAAAAGTGAACAAAGCACATCCCACTATAAAATCCTGAATAAAAATTGGCAGTATATTTCAAATATCATAGCTAATCATGACTATGCCCAGAAATTATTACTTACATCCAAGAGGTCCTTAAAATATTTTCTTCTTTCCCATGGTAAGAATCCTTCATACAGCGGCTGATAGCTCTGGAGTTTTCTTCCTTGTACAAAGGTATCTTCCTTAGATATTTCAAATTCTTTGTTGTTTACATCTCCAGGCAATCTGGAAACCTTGAAGCCCAGTGCACTGAACCTAAGCTGGGAATCCTTTTTCATGACAGATTTCTCATTTTCATGCCCTAGTTCTCTTGATTTAAAGGTAGTTTTCTTGGAATCAGCCATATTTTCAGGTACCATTTTGATTTTGGATATGTGTGCTAAATTGATCCCCTGTTTCGTCAAATTTAAAGCTTGCTCTGTTTGTGGCTTGATGCTGCTAAAATGTTTAAGCAAAGCTACTTTTGACATGTTGTACCCTTTCATTGTGATGTCACCTTTGCTAAGCTTCAAGTCAAGATCATGTAGGGCCAGCCGTATACTGTTTGGAAGAGCAGATACATTCGTATGTGGTATATGGATTTCTTGATCTTGTTTCTCAGCTGGCCTCTCTTTTTTGAGCTTTGGGAACCTGTCTTCTTCAGGAATGTCCTCAAACAGCATTTCTGCTTCTGGGGTAGGCGTTGTGCTCATTATATCCCTCTTTCCTTGTAAAGATGGTGTAATATTATGTTTTTGCTCTTCGTTTGTGTCGACATCTATGAATATCTGCATTTTGAACTCTTTGTCATTCTGATCATGAAAGGTTAGGTTAAAATTAACTACAGTAGCATTCATTCCTGGATACATGATCAGATGAACAGTTTTCCATTTATTAGCAATAGAAGCATGGCGAATAATTGGGTTTTCACTATAGCTGCCCTCAACTGCTTTCTTAGCCATGTCAGCAAAGCTAAAGTAGGGCAAACTTTCCGCTTTTGGAACAACATAATGGGTCTGGTTTTGCAGCAAGTTTATCTTGTATAACTCTCCAAAGTGATCTGCAAATTAAATACATAGGTTCACTTTATCGGTATTAGGAATAAAGGTTTTGTACAATCAAATTATTAAAATGTACTTTAATACTATAAATAAAATGAAAGTATAGCAATATAGGATTAATAACAAAGAGGCAAGTGCAAACAATAGCAACACACCTATATAACTGCATCAGCTTTTCTTTCCTACTAAGCACACTGGGAGCCCTGAATCCCAAGGCAAAATGTCCACCAGCTTTCATGGTTGGAGTCTCTGAGATCCAAGATTGGCAGCTTAGTGTTAAGGTCAAGATTACCTGGAGCAGAGGGTAAATGTGCCAATGGAGGCACTTATTGAAGTGACAGGTCAGAGATAGGATTTTCCCACACTTCCTGTTTTTGTCTCTGATACAGGTAGTAAGATGAAATCTTCCCCAGAAGGGCAACTACTGTTAGAGGTGTAATAACTATTGGGGATAGCTAGAACATATGAAAAGTTTCAAACCTCCAGGTTTCTAATGCTATTAAAATTACCTTATCAGCCATTCCATCAGGGAACATATCAGAAATGTTCAAAGCACTTGCAAATACTGCAAGCAATTCTTCCTTAGGCATAGGCAACATACTCTATGATGTAGAATTGGTCATGTGATCCCTTTTAAAATGAATCAGGTGCAAGTGACCAATCAGTGGCTCTGCCTAAAAATTGCTCTTACCTTCAGTATGTTGTCTTAACAATTATAAGGTCCACACAAAAACAGTTCATAAGACAAATATGTTGTCTTGTATCAATAAAGAAGGACGTATGAAACTATATAACTAATACCACTGTATGCCTTGAGAATGATATGCTAGAGAAGGGAAACAATTTAAATATCCAAAAGTTAAAGGTAAGTACTGATATATCTCACACTTCTATTTTCATTGTGTCTGAGGAATTATAATAAGCAAACTAGATGTGAGTAGTATTGGCCCAATGACATGGAACAAGAATGCCAAACAGAAAAACCAAGATGACGTCAGAACTCAGAACTAATCTACATATTTGATCTGAGTCAGTGACTTAAAAAGTACTGAAGCCATTGGACTTGTGAACAGCGACAGTACAAGACACTTCTTCACTACAGGATTTTATTCAAAGCCCAACTCCAGGCAAACAACTCCATGCAGGCCATCCTGCAATGTAATGGTTCAAAATCACAGTATCCTCTATGAGCAAAGCTAATTTCCTTCCCTGGGGACAGGACATTTTTTTCCTGCTTGTTACCTTCTTGTGCACAGCATTTCCTCACCACCCCTGTTAATTCTTCTGTCTCTGGAGGCAAAGACAGAGGACCCAACTGCTGGAGGTGTAACCTCCACCAACAGGTGATATCCACATCATGCAAGCATTGATGTGGACACCTGAAGATGGTCCCCAGGAAGTAAGCAGAAGAGGAGAGAAGGATTATCATGTGACTGTGGCCTCAGGTAAATGGCATTTGGATAGGTTTTATTTTTTATAGCACTGATTAGTTAGAGGGGGTTAGAAGGGGGTTTGCTAATAACCAAGAGTTGAGCTTTAGATTTGTTTGCTGCTACAGTGTAAATATTGGTGAGCAGACCCTAGTGCTTTCATGCTCAGAAGTGAAAATGTGGACTAGTGTGCACAATGGGGTGAAGTGTTTGCTAGCCTAGAGACACATTTTAACACACCTAAGCTTACTGAATATTGAATAAATATTAACAATGCAGTCTAGGAGGGTAACCCATAGCAAATGATCACATGTTCTCTTACTTGATCTTTCAAGGATTAAATATCTGATTACTCTGGATTCTTAGACTTTTCACTGCCTTATGGAATGTTTCTATATGTTTTGTAACACATACCACGGTAGGGTTAGTGTTTCCTAAGAATTCCTGAAACTGCAAAAACACTTTCATTTACTTCACCTTGTCCACAATCGCCAGCATCAAATCCACAGTTAAGAACATTGCAGGCTTGGTCACAGAACTTGTCAGCAAGCCATGAATTAGCACAGCCTTGATTACAGTAAGAAACGCCACCTATTCCCACTCCAGGCTGCCAGGCTTGTCCATTGAGATGACTTCCCCCAGCAAGGGCTGGTGCAAAACGACCAGCTGCTGTGTTACCTATAGGAGTGGAAAAACAAAACAATTCTTTAACAAATCCTAAAACAAACAATAATTTGTATGAATAGACATGACAAGCTGGGATACAAAATTGCTTACTCGCATCATCAAAATATCACAACTGATGTCTGCCACAAATTATCAAGGCACAATTTTCTGTTAAAGTATTACTAAAGGCAAAAAAACTTTTTTTCCACTTCGGATAGAATAAAGACGGGTTATAGCTCCTGTACGTTTTTAGCCATCTGTGTCCCATTGGGGAGATTTCCCTTCACTTTCTGTCAAAAACAGGAAATCGTTCCAAAGTGCGGGAATCCTGGGTTGTCACCAGAGTCACCAAAACCAGTGTTTCCATTGAAAATTGCCCCTCTAAGACTGTTCTGGTGTCTACCAAAAACTAAAAATTTGGGTATTTTCTTTCACTTTCAATGATAATGGGAAACAGGAAAAACCAGAGATGAAGAATCCCTTTTACAGGGGCACAGACAGCAGAAGAAACTGACAGGAGTTCTAATCCTCCTGCACTCTACCCAAAACTAAAAAAAAAAAAAAAAAAAAAAAAAAAAAAAAAAAAAAAAAAAAAAAAGCGTTGCCTTTAGATATACTTTAAATCATTCCATATCTCGCATGTATCACAGGGAAACAGGATTTTTGTACTCAATGTAAAATATTTTTCTTTGGATTAATTTAGGGACACAGAATTTAGAGACACCACCACCTACAAGAGCATTTGGGCACTGTAAGAAAACAGTGCTGAGCATAAGGCCATAAATACAGAGGTGTGGGACCCATTCCCCACAATGAACTTGGTAAAAAGGAATTTACAGTGAGTACTGTTTTCTTTTGGTTCATTTAGAGTTACAGGATTCAGGGACATTTAAGAAGTCGAAAAGCAGAACAACTGAGGGGTAGGCAACACAGCAAAAAAATGCTAACAAAGGCTCAAATATAAATAAACTAGGAACTGCCTGCAGCGCATAGAGCCACCCAAAGGACCTTATGCCAAAAATGTCAACAGCAGAGGCCCGAACATCTGCCTGTAAAAACTTAGAGAGCAAAAGACCAGGGGGCAGCCTTGAAAATCTGAGAGAAACAGCTGCCCGATGCCAAAAAACCATTAATAGTAAGTCTTGACAGGAAAGGGTGGAAACCCATCCTTAAGACCAAACATTTAAATGAGATTCCAAGAAATGATGGAACAAGAAGCTGGTTCCCCTTTACAGGGAAAATCAGGAATGACGAAGAGTGTGTCTTCTTTCTAATGGAGGTAGTGGTTGCACAACAGTAGAAATGTATTGCTCGAACTACATCCAGACAATGAAAGGAAATCTCTTTTTGATGTACTGGGGCCAGACAGACAGAAGGAAGCACACTGTCCAGTTAAGGTGAAAGGCTGAAACCACCTTGGAAAAGATGCTGGCCTTAAAGTGGTAGTAAAGTTCGCTTTGTGATTTTTATCTACAGGTAAGCTTATAATAAAGCTTAGCTGTAGGTAAAACGGATATCTCTAAACGTGCACTGTTTAGGAGATAGTCACTCTTTTTGACAGCTGGTGCATGCGCTCTAAAGGAATGGCATACCCTTGCCGTTCCTTCAGAGCACTGTAGCATGGCCCGTGACTCCTGTGCCCATGTGCGGCAGTAACGTCATCACCACTCAGCCAGTCAGAAGGCCAGAGCTCGGAAACCCAGAAAGAAGACCGGGGGAAGATGGAATCTCTGTCAGTGGTGACAGCGTGCCACTGGACGGCTTGGTTAGGATTTCATAATCTGCTAGTATGTCATGCATACTAGCACATTATGCAATTGCCTTGCAGGGGATCTGTTTTTTTTTTTTTTTTTTGTTTTTTTTTAAGCTGCAGCTTACTACCACTTTAACACAACACTCTGTCCTTGTGTAAGACTAGTAAACATTCTTTACAGGACAAAGCTGCCACTCCAGGCACAAGCCTTGCAGAGGTGAAGGCAACAAGGAATACAAGCATGCAAAGGGGAATATGCCTGATTGGTTCAAAAGGTGGTTTTGAAATGCCTAAGCAGCCTAATTTAAATCCAACGGGGACACCACGTGAGATCTGACCAGTAATAGTATTTAAGGCTAATTTTTTTTAACTAGGCTTGATTTATAAATATCAGAATTAATCCCACAGAGTATTTTCTAGGATGCAAGTTTCTTCCCTCACACTAAGCAAAGTATGACGGCAGATCTTCAGGAAGTGAAATTCCTGGCTTTTAAACACTGCGTAAATTACCAAGCTGGAAAGGCCCCCCACCCCCTTCCTTAAGACCTGAGCATCAACAAACAGGCTGTTAAAGCCAGCAACTGTTAAGCAGGATGGTAAGCTGGTCCTAAGGACAGAAGATCCAGTCTTTTAGAAATAGCCCATAAAGTGTCTGCCAGAAGACTGATCAGTTTGGAATACCACATCTGCCTGGGACAGTCTAGAGCTACAGGGATCACCAAAATGCCCTCCACCTCGATCCCACAGAGTCAATGAGGAAGGGGTTTCTAGGCAGAAAAAGTGTAGATTAGGTTGTACTGATTCCACAGAGCCACCAGAGCATCCACTGCTTCCACCAGAGGATATCTGCAACTGGAGACAAACCTGTCCAGTTTGTTGTTGAAGCTGGATCAGGAGGTTCCCATTTGACATCCCTGTGACACAGGTTCTGGAACGCTTTTGGGTGTATGGCCTATTCTATTTGGTCCACGCACTCTCCAACCAGATCCTACCAGTAAAGATCTCCAGTGTTGTGGAGGCAACCAAATGTCTCAAAGCTCCATAAAACTGAATGGGAGAGTCAGGATTCCTCCAGTGTCAAAGTTTCCTGTAAAGTCAGAGTGTCTAGGACTCCTCTCCTGGCTTGTGTCTACTGTGATGAACTTTTTAAGAGACTGGAAAGAACGAGACTGAACTGATTTGGCAGAACATTGAGCTGGCAGGGTGTGGAGGGAAACTGGGAAAACGTAACTGCCTTAAAAAGAGGCTACTAGCAGTCCCATGACTCTCATATAGAAGTGAAGAGTCAATTGACTCTTGGAGTGAAGTGTACAAATCTGTCAGCAGAGAATTTTAAGTTTGTCCTAGGGAAGAAAAACTTGAGCTGCATCTAGGATCAGACCCAGATATGCTAAGCGATAAGTCAGCTCCAATGCAGACTTGTGAATGTGAAGAGTGAACCGAACCTTCTTAAGGTATGACCAGTCCATGCCACATTTTCAGTCAGGATCTGTGCAAATCTAGGTGAAACGTGTATCAGAAGTTTACTTGTCAGTGTACAGAACTTCAGCATATAGCACAGGCATAGTAAAAGTAGTGGTACTAGGGTCACTCAGAAAAACCATAGACTAATAGCAGCATTAAAAGAAACTACAGACTGTATATCCATCTTTAAATTGGCACTCACCAACAAGAACCAAAATAGTCTCTCTAAGCCTGGAAGTTATGGCAGCTGCCTGGGACTTCTCATGGAAAACTTCATCCTGCAAGGATTTTTGAGCCTTTTTATCAAATAGAGCCTCTGCAGGGGGGATGCATTATGATGTTCTTATTTCTCTGTGGTCAGAAGCAGCAATTACCAATGCAATTTGTCCCATAAAATCCTGCATAACTGTGCTGAAATTGCACCACAAGGGAAAACAACTTAGCTGAGTAAACCCGGTAAAGACCTTAGGTACTCACGAACCAAATGCCCACATGGCCTACTCATAAATCTTCAGAGACTGGGTCACACCAGAGTCTGTGCCATGATCTGCATTCACCCAGTCCAGAAGGGTCCGGGTACAGCCTCCAAAGCCATTGTGAGGATATACCAATCCAGACAGCCATATAAGAGACCAGATCATCCAGCTTGAAGGTAAAGTCTTGATTAAAAAAAAATATTTAGAAAAAAAGAAAAAAAAAAAAAACCTACTAAAACAGTTAAATCTGTATCAGTAGAGAAAACAAATCCATCCTGTGACATGCTGCGAGTGGAAGGGCTTATACTAGGCCAATCACTGTTTTTTTTCTGGGTGTTTGCCACAATCCTCCTGTATGCAGCAGTATATACCAAATGTCTCTTAATCCTGTGTCCCTCAATGAACGAAAAAGAAATATGAATTTCTGTGAGGTTTTCAAACACACTCTTTATCTGCAATAGTTTTATGACAAAATGTTTATAATATATATTTATTGACAAATGTATTTCAAGGAGGAAACAAACATCACATTTATTTCATTCTACTGTAAAATCTGTGGAAAAGATTTAACAAAGTAGGCACTGTGTACATCTTACCAAGGCAGTCACCTCCATCCCAGTCACATGCAGAGTTATTGCAAGCTTTGTCACAATAACCATCTTTAATCCAAGATCCTGGACATCCCTCTGCACAGTTAGGAACAGGCCACGTCAAATAAACCTTTGTGTTAAAACACAAATGTATTACTCGATATTTGTTCAATTTACAGTCATTTTTGTTGTATAAGTTGTATTTCCCAACTATTAAAAATCACAAAGCCCCAGAAATCTTACCAACTTTCAGGCTATGTTTACTTTTATAGTGTATTTATTCAGCATATTACAAATCTTTCATGGCATCTGGAAGCAGCGTCCTTTCAGGAAGTGGAAGAAGATTTGAAAAAACCAATAGTAAATAAATTTGCATTTGTAACTTTTTGTAAGGAACCAAAAAAAAAAAAAGAATGTCTAAATTTCATTTCCTGATACCTGCTATACATTTTATGAAGAATTTTTTTTTTGTTCCAATTCATGTTTTTAAAAACAAAAATCAGATATAAGTAATATGATTTTCATTTAAATATTCATTGAACATTTTGACAAGAGTTTTACCTTAACCACGTCCCTACTGCTGCACTATTTAACCACCTCCCGTCTGGCCGTTGTATATAAATGGCTGGACAGTGGCAGTGCAGGGTCGTGTGGCCGTTTATAAACGGCCTTCCCACCCCCTGCTTGTGCGCGCTCCCTGGGAGCACACAGCACCACGATCCGGTGCCCGCTGTGTCCTGTTGAACACCGATCGTCGTACGGGACCTCTGTGCGAGGTCCCGATCATGTGATCACTGATTGGCCAATCAGTGATCACATGCAGAGTAGTAAGCAAGATGTCACTTCTGACATCATTGCTTACTACGTCTGAAATCTGTGAATGATCACAGAGGTCACATGGTACAAGGCTATTCACAACAGCCTTGTACCAGCTGTCACAGCTCACACAGAATGGCTGCAAGAATGCAGCTAGAGAGAAGGAGAAATGATTGCTTTTACAGCCTTTATGGGTGTAAAAGCAATCAGTGTAAAAAAAAAAAAAAAAAAAATAATCTTCATCACCCCCCCACAAGTAGTACAGTGTTACCATGGTGACACTGTACTGCTAGGGTGACAGTATGTAAAAAAAAAACATAAATAACATAAAAAAATAAAATAAAAAATGTAAAAAAAAATGTTTAAAAATTATAATTTTTGGTTATAAACTCATTTGGGTTATTTTTTTTTTTTTACTAAAAAGATAACGGAATAAATTGTGGCCAGATTGATGATGAAATATTATTTAGTTGCAAAATTTTATAAGAAAAACATTTTTTTTCAAAATTTTTGGACTTTTTCATTTACATAGCAAAAAAAAAATAAAATTCCCAGCGGTGAATAAATACCACCAAAATAAAGCTTTAACTGTCTCAAAAAAATGCTAAAAAATTCATATGTTGCATGACCCTGCAATTGTGCTATCAAAGTGTGATAGCACTGAAAGCTGAAAATGGGCCTGGACAGGAAGGGGGTAAAAGTGTCCGGACTTGAAGTGGTTAAAATGGCAGAGTACTGGACACTTACTTCTGGATTTCAGTTTATAAACTCTACTTCAGAAAATACACACAGAAGGAAAATGCACCCATGAATGACTGTATTCTAAGCTGTCATTAGATGGTTCAGATCACAGGCGCAATGCACAGAGTCAACTGGACTGCTAGTCCTGGTGCTTGCCTTACTTCCTTGATAGCGCAATGTCACTGGCTCTGCTCTACAAAACACCATGCTTCTAAAATGCTATTAAAAAAGCTATTATCAGCATTTTATGAGCTTAAGAAAATTATAGTGTGCATGGAGCCCAAAAAACACCAGAAGAAAGCTTTATTTGCCCCAAAAAATAATATAAAAGTCATTTGGATACAGTGTTACATGTCTGAGTAAATGTCAGTCAAACAGCATTAAAAATGAGGTGTATACAGGCTGGTACACCAGTATATGCAGTTCAGTTTTGGGCACCAATTCACAAAAAGAACATTGGGGAACTGGAGAAAGTACAGAGAAGGGCAACTAAACTGATAAGAGGCATGGAGGAGCTCAGCTATGAGGAAAGATTAAAGGAACAGAATTTATTCTCTCTTGAGAAGAGGAGATTAAGGGGGATATGATCAACATGTATAAATACATCAGTGGTTCATATAGTGAACTCGGTGTAGAGTTATTCACTCTGAGGTCATCACAGAGGACAAGGGAGCACTCTTTTAGGAAAAGAGATTTAATCTCCAAACACGGAAAGGTTTCTTCACAGTGAGAGCTGTGACAATGTGGAATAGACTCCCTCAGGAGATGGTTCTGGCCAGCTCAGTCGATTGCTTTAAAAAAGGCCTGGATTCTTTATTGGATACATAGAATATAACTGGATCTTATTTATAGGTAAAGTTGATCCAGGGAATATACGATTGCCTCTCAGGGGATCAGGAAGGAATATTTTTCCCTGCAGGAGCAAATTGGATCATGCTTTGCTGGGTTTTTTGCCTTCCTCTGGATCAACTGTGGGTATAGGTTTATAACTTTTCTTTTTTTTTTTTAATGGTAGAACTGGATGGACTATTGTCTTTTTTTAGCCAGACCCAGTAGTTAAAGCGACTGCTATTCCTTAAAACTTCCCATATAATAGTACTTGTGCAGATGGGTTGTTGTAACCTCTTTATTGCTCCCTTTCTTGTGTTAAAGCTCTCTAGCAATCCCTAGATCACAGCTATAAAAAAAATCAGTGTAGGAATCCACTTTACGAGATATATTGTTATTCCAGGCGGAGTTTTTACAGTTGTTATTTAAAGAGCTGTGAAAGCAGAGAGATAGCAATAAGGAGCTTACAACAGCCTCTATGAAAAGTCACTGTCAGCTGTAATAGAAAAAGGAATGGCATGAAGAATCCATCTTGCCTATGTACACACAAATGCACTCCAATTGTCCAATAAGACCTAATGGATATGTCTAGATATATGTTCATATCAGGATAGGGCAAGAATCAACCTACTATGTAATTTCTCACTTTGCTTGGAGCCAGACACTTTGTCGAGACCCTGCACATAGACAGATGAACTGTGTTGTTGTATAATCGTGTTTATAAGTTTATGCTTACCTTCTGACCCTTTGAATGACTATAAAAATCATCAGGCCACACATATGTACCAAACATAACATCATCATTCATATATATGAATTTCTGAGAAAGTCCAGGAATCCGATGAATGTGGCTTTCAATAGCAGGGGAGCTAAAGGTAGGTAAATGGCTAGTGTTCAAAAAGATTTCCTAGTAAAGAAAACAAAGAAGACATTAACAAGAATAATCTAAATGCCCCAGTTTTAAGTCCGGTCAAATTGGCTGACAGAGTGCTAACATGGTGTAAAGAACTACAATACTTTGTTACCCTTAACAGATGCTCTGAGTCTTCACGTAAAAATGTAGGCATTACTACATAACAAATAGCTCTTTCAACAAGGCGTCAGGGCTACTGACAACTTCTAATTGCTTTTGAAGAAGTGAGATCATTTGTCTGAGCTCCTACAGTACTTAACAAAGAACTGAAAGATTCCAGACTTAAAGTACACAGGAGGCCACTGTAAAGTTCTCCATCTGTCCCTGATCTGAGAGCCTGGATGAAAAGGACAAATACACTAGTCATTACCAGTGCTACTGTAAATAGTGCAATATCATAGAAAAGCTGGATATGTCACTAAAAACAATATTACTATACCAAATTTGGCTCAGTTTCTGAAGTGGGGAGAGCTAGAAACATGTAAGTTAGTTATTGTATTGGGGCTGTATGATTATACCAATGCAGATATAAACAGGACATAGCACAGGTCTTTCATATAAACAAACTGGAAAAAAAAACAATGTGTTATCTACAGCAACTTACTTACCAAATTAGCATTTATTAGTTCAAGTTTAGTGAAGATTTAGGCTGGCCATAGACTACGCAATTTTATTTCCTTCAACAAGGGGTTAAAGGAAAGAAAATAGCTTAATTGCCCCATCAGTGTCAGTGTTGATGGGGCATTAATTAATTAATGTATTCTGAGAGTGGGAGATTTACTTGGTGTCAAAATGCAATGATCACTGCTTGCGTCAATACCAACAAAAAACAGGCTGGTTGTACTGAAGTTGACCAACAGATTGACTTCAATACAACCAGCCTGCCCATGGAGGGATTGTAATTTGGCCAGTTCCAGCTGAACCACATTAGGTTAATTGCTACCATCACGAGTCCCACAAAAGTGAATGGGGAGCTCTACAGGCAAGAATTAGCTGAATAAAACGGTAATAGGCTCACAGTTGATGCAGCCATGAGCTTCTTTTGACCCCTTGACAACCAGGACATTTATAAATGTACTTGGGAAAAAGTGGCTAAAGCATGCACTGGAGTTACATCATCAGTGGTTGCCAAAATTACTAAACAGAAAAGAATCCGGACCCAGAAGAAGCAGAGATTGACAGCAGTGAAAGGAGAGCAGTGACAGCGATTGCAAAGCTGCCAGTGCTGCAGGGGGCCAAACCCAGAAGCAAGTCTTCCATAGTGTGCAAGTATGCTGTGCTACAGTTCTGATTCACCTGTACCCATACGTAAGTCAAGATTAGCGAAGTTTAAAGTAGAACTCCAGCCAAGTCTTTTTTTATGGTTATGGTAAAAGCGAGAAAGTGTTAGCGCCTCCAACAGATTCTTACTGCTGTCTGTCATTTTTGTTAGAAAGATTCCCTTCACTTTCTATCATTATGATCCAGTTAGAAATTTCTCCCCAGCTGAAAAACAGCAATAAAAACCAAGCAGATTTAATCATGGTCATTCTATCTGGCTCAATCTACCTATCTAAAAAAAACATCTTTTGGCTGAAATTCTACTTTAAAGCAGTAATAAAAGCAAAAGCAAGCATTAATATACTGCAGCTTACCAATTCATAGATGTGATGGCTGCATTTGTTTTCTTTTATAGGCTTTATTTTCATCTGGTGATCTAGCCAGTAAGTCTCTTGTTTTTCAACAGGACAAGCTCTCTTCCAGTTGTACCATTTTACAGGGATGAGACAAACCATTTACTTCTGACAGGGGTGCTTACAATGATCAGCTTTTATTTATGTAAAACCTTTATCCCAAAAACTGCTGTAACTGATTATAACCTGTGAGCAGGAGCTTGGCTTCAATTTTTAAATGTATTTAAATCTGCTAGTACAATTAAAACTACCATCCTCCCCACACTGACAATGCTGCTGTCTGCTGTGCCCCATGTGCTCATTCATCCAGAGTGGTGGCACTCCAATACTGGGCATTTACTGGGCAAATCATCAGGTGAAAACTAAAGGAGAACCTCCTAGGTTTTGGAAGGCCCAGGATCCACCGATAATGAGGGATTGGATAGACAGAGTAGAATATGTTAGTAGGATGGAGGAAGTTTGTTTATATGGAGAAAAATGAAATGGAAAAGTTTAGAAAGATTTGGGGTAAATGGTATGAGTTTAGAACTTCATAAAAATACTTAAAAATGAAAGGTCCCCTGATAGTAGTACCAGAGAATTTAAATGGTTAAAGAGATCTATATATATGACTAGATTAGTAAGAGGGGAAAGAGAGGATAAGATGAGACTGGACAGGGGTGTGTTGGGGTGGGTATGGGGATACATTTTTTAAATGAATGATGTAAAAAGATTTATGATGGTTTTGTAAGTTTTTTTTTTAAAGAAAATTTAATAAAAGATATAATGGAAAAAAAAAAAACTAAAAGGAAAAAGCCTAAAAAAGAACGTTAATACAGACACCACATCTAATGATTGGTAAGCTGCAATATATTACAGTTCTGGTTTTGGGTTTAATACAGCTCTAATTTAAGAGTACATAATTGCATGAGTGCAATTGGTTTCCTTCTAAGGGGCATTTCATTTTTCCCTGTATATAAAATAAATCAAAGCTGTATTTGGTAGGACATGAAGAAATGTGCATCAGATCAAAAGCTGAGCGATGTTTTGATAAAGGAAAGTCTAGCATCAGCAGGAGCAATTATTCAGATTCATAGTGCACATAGTTATGCATATCTTTTTCCATTGAGTAATCCATAAACAAAATGTGTTTGGGTTTACTTTAGGCCACTGTTGTAACCATGGTTTAAAATATGTGGCTTGGTGATAAATGAACACGTCAATCTGTTCACTGCACATAGGCCAAAACCATAAACAAGATAACACAGTAAGTATAAAGGTCACAGACAAGAGGACATGGGTCACTATGAAATTATTCCCACTTTCATCACTTCAACACCTCCTTTTCAAAACTAGAAATATGTTGCTGGATACCTAAACTGACACCTCAGCTAAGATCGTATAACATAAAGAACAGTGAAATCAAACCACTGGTAAGCAAGAAACCCAAACTGTTTCATTGAGGAAAAATGGATGAAATGCATTTCATAAATAAATAGAAGGCCTACTTGGTGTGTTACGATGGTGACACGTGGATTATCCAAATTCAGCCACGATGGTATTTGACCGTTTGTTACGATGAAAACATGACGCACCCAGGGAGCATGTTTCTCTATGGATCTCAAAGAGTAACGAAGTTCTTCATTATCCTCAAAACGACTGGCAGAAATGTCTTCATCCTGCTTTAGCTTTAATAGCAAAGTAAAATCAGATTACTGTGAAACCATGTGTATCCCAAGAAAATATGTATTGCCACTGTTCACATTTGGAATGGTAAGGTGCCACACAATATCTGTACTGTGACAGCTCACCTGCTAAGAGCACCGCCAAGTCCCCCCTGAAAAAAATTGTTCAAAAATTGTTCTAGATGCAACCAACATAATGGGGCAGATTTACTAAAACTGGAGAGTGCATAATCTGTTGCAGATTTGCATAGAAACCAAACAGCTTTCAGTTTTTTTTTTTTTTGTCAAAGCTTAATTGAACAAGCTGAAGTTAGAAGCGGATTGGCTACCATGCACAGTGACACCACATTTTGAACTCTCCAGTTTTAGGATATCAACCCCTATGTGTAGTACATGCATGAATGAAAATGTTCACTATACAGTTTTAATGAGTAAAGTGATATTGTATGGCATGAGGGAGATATATTGAACTGTAGAACTGGTTACAGATCTGAACAGGGCAAATTTCTAAATGAAAGGAAAGACGTGTGTTCCAATGCCACCCAGTAAGCATTCATCTCTCATATCCAATGTGTGAGCTCTGGACGTAGCACTTTTCTGCAGTTAGCAGTCAGGTTTTATAAAAGAAAAAAGGAAAATATTTTGAGACATACATAAAAGCGTCAACTGCAGGAATTAGACACAATCTACATATACAGTGCCCCGTCCTCATCTGGCACTGCCAGGTTAAATGCTTACTAAAGCAAGCCATAGTTAATGTAAGTTTATTTCCATCAACCTTGGGAAAGAAAACAGCTTGATTCCCCCGTCAACAGAGTCAGTGTTGATGGGGGAATGGTAAAATACTAAAAAGAAAGTGAGCGCTCTTAAAATTATCAGCTGTAGCACCAAACCAATAAAACCTTCAGAATAACATAACAAATAAAAAGGTGGAGCACTTAAACACACATATATAAAATTATAGATGTCCATAAATAAATAAACGTGCAAGGTGTCAGTCTATGCAGATCTATGTTAAGGTGACAGTAGAATCCAGCTAATGGTGCTCCAAAAAGTATGCTAGAATTACGCACTCACCAGATGCTGTCCCAGCTCCAGATCGAAGCCCACCACACAGATAGAATGCAGCCACGAGAAGAAGCCTGAGGAGGCGGGGAGCCCCAGATTCTTCCATGGGATCGCTTCTCCTCGTGGCTGCATTGTATCTGTGTGGTGGGCTTTGATCTGGAGCTGGGACAGACAGTGGAGCTATTTACTTCTAGAGCCCATCCTGATCCAGCCATCCATCAGCATCCAGAGAGGGGAGTTCCTTAAAGCTGACACCCACACCCATCCATCCCTTAAAGGGATCTCTGGGCAGCTGGATCCTGTATTTTCCTGTGTATCCCTGACAGCACCACCATACCTAGAGGGAGGATCATCCTGGAATGGGATCTTATCCAATACCTTAAAGGGACCTCTACATATTTATACAATGCGTATTTACATTACACATCTGGTGAGTGCGTAATTCTACCATACTTTTTGGAGCACCATTAGCTGGATTCTACTGTCACCGTTACATAGATCTGCATAGACTGACACCTTGCACATTTATTTATTTATGGACATTTATAATTTTATATATGTGTTTAAGCGCTGCACCTTTTTATTTGTTGATGGGGAATCACTGCCGATGTGCTATGGTATTCTGACAAGCACCAGGTTTCTTCACCTCCAGAATACAATGATAAATGCTGGTGGCTATAGCTGCCAACAGAGGTTGCACAAAAAAAAAACCAAAACAGCCAGGTTGTAATCGAAATCAATCAACAGACCAACGTCTGTACAACCAGCCTGCCCGTAGATTGATCGAAATTCAGCCAATTCCTGCTGAATCTGCTGAATTTCAATTCATCTATGGCCAGCCTAAATCTAAGGATGCACTTGTTCAATTACCTGACCCCTGATCCAGCCACCTCTAGCACTAGCCTCCTTTCCTCTGGGCGGTCCTTTGGCATCATCACATACAATGAAGGGCTGTTAACCCTGCATTGTATGAGAGTGCGACCACGGCCCCCTTAAGAGGAGGTTTTCTGGCATGGTTCACAGTGCTGCAGTGAGGAATAAGGGAATACTTCCCATTCCGGCACCCCTAGACTGAACGAGCAGTTAACCCTTGAAGTATGGGGGAGGGGTGGCTCCACTGTAAGAGTAGATTTTGTCTAATTCCTGAAGTTGGGCTTTAAAGTCCACACATGTTTATATCATTGACAAATTAACACTGATTAATACGGAATAATTTTAACATGTTGCTGTCACATTCTTATGACAAGGATTCCACAAGCTCACTGTAAATACATTGTGCTGCTAAAGCTAGTTGGCTAAAGGAGAATTACTGCGGAAGAGAGTCATCCATCCTCATGGGAAGGATGGGGAAATGAGATGCTTACCAAAGCACTGCATCTGTGATACCAAATATGGAGGTAAACAATCTTCCCAAGATAAATATATCCAGATTATGGACTGGTGTGGGGTAAAGTGACAAGCTTAGTAAATATAAACAAGACCTACATGTTGGTCTCATGGTAAAGGTATTTGCCTTTGACATTATTTAACAAGGCACACTGTGATGTTATTTTCAACAGTAACTGGATAGAAAAGAACACCTTTGCCCCAGCCATGGGATATTCATTTATTTACACTTCACTCATGAAATTAAGATGTTCGATTGATGTTTTAAAGCTGAACTCCAGCCTTATGTTCAGTGTTGTGCAGTTTGTGTTGTGCTTCTTTCCTGTACTGAAATTGCTTACTGTGATTTCCCTGCACACTGTGAGTTTCTTGCTAAACCTCTTAGCAGGAATAAAAGAGGAATAAACAGAGAAGGCCATGACCTGATGGGCCACAAAGCCACAACACTTTTGGTTAGGTGGGCCTTCACAGAAATGGAGAGAACCTTTCCTTTCAAATAGTACACCGGAGTAACGATTTAATGCAGTGTTTCTCAACCTTTTTTCAGTCAAGGCACCCTTTAAAATTATGGACAGTCCCAAGGCACCCTTTAAAATCATGGACAGTCTTGAGGCACCCCATTCTAAAATAGGGTGCCTCTAGACTGCCCATAATTTTAAAAGGGCACCCCATTCTAAAATGTGAAAATGTATTTCTAATAGTTTTATATAACGCAGCAGCATCGACACATGCAGGACACCCAACATTGGAGGTGATTTATATTTCCCAAGCAAATACACTTTTGCACACTGGTATTGACTAGTATTCCAGTGTTTCTCTTTTCCTTTAGTTTTTCTCCATCACTGAGCTAATGTGACCCCAGTACTGATGGAGAGGGGCAGGGGAGGGTCAAACTTGGATGCTGTGCAGGCAGCGGACATCCTCCTTATCAACTGATGATGTCATTGGTTGTCAGGACGCTGGTGGCTAGTAGGCCGTAATGGTGCACAATGAAAACCTGTGGCTTTGAGTAACTTAAAGGCAGCCTTGTTCCACCCACTGGCTTGTATATAAGTTTTGGGCAATTTCTAGACATTTTGCCAAGGCACCCCTGAAGAAACCTCAAGGCACCCCAGGATGCCTGGGAACCCTGGTTGAGAAAGGCTGATTTAATGCATCCACCTAGCAACTGTGGATCAAAAGGCAGCTGGTCTCTTTTGGAAGCCCTGAGGCAAAGCATATACAGCATTAGATTAACAGATTGGAGCTTTAGTCATGAAATAAATACACAAAGCCCTAAACACATCCAAACAATGGAGAGCAATCTCCATGGAATGTTTGTGAATTTGACAATAGGAATGCAACACTATGTCCTGAATTAAATGAAATGCAAAGACCATCTTAGGCAGGAAGGAGTTTTGTGATCTCAAGTCATCCTTGTCCTTGTACAGAAGGTTGTACACAAGTACAAGAAAATATTGTACAGGACAAAGCCACAAGCTCAGAGCACTGCTTTCCATGTGTAGTAGAAAAACTTATGGGAGGAAAGTTTTATGGTCTTCAGCAAGGTGGGAATCATCAAATCTGATAATCCCCTATCCATCAAGACGTGGACTTCAATAGCCCAGCTTTCAAAACCAGTGACCGTAAAGCAGGATGGAACACAGGACCTTGATAAAGAAGGTCCGGATGATCCTGAAAGGCCACAAAGAGTCTGCCAGGAGGTGAACTATGTCTGAGCACCACACACTCCTGGGCCAGCTCAGTGCGATGAGAATTACCAGAATCCCCAACTGACCCAGATTGCGCAAATCCTTGTCACTGTTGTGAAAACTGCCGACCTTGCCAAAGTCCCCCTGTAGTCTGCAGACACAAATAGGAAAACAGACAAGTCCCACACATAGCCCAAGGGCAAGGACTGCACTAGGGAACAACCACGTAGTAGCAATTTATGTGGTCGGTATCACAGCTGACAAGCAGCTCAGCCTTTGGCAATCATGGTCAGGTATACCCTTCACGGTCTTTATACGGTGAAAATTTAACTTTCTGGGTTCAGTATTTTATGTGTATGTGTGTATTTTGCAAACACTTTCAATAAAAAAAAAAGAGGATTAAAAAGATTTTTATGCATGTTTACACATGCACATGTTTGTATAAGGTCTTTATGAAACATTTTACTCAGGATCTTTTTGCTAACAAGAGCTTGAGTATAAACATTAGTAAATTATTATGTCCACGTGCAACTGGCCATCGGGACCAAGATCTGCCTCAGCAGACCATGGCCCTGGACCTGTATTGCTGCTTGTGACTGTAGGCGGGCTTATGCATGCATATACCTACAGGTGTACAACCACAGGTGCTGATGAACCTGCATCTATGGGCATATGGATTTACATCGTATGCCTAATAGCATCAGAGCTAATAGTCCGGTGCGGGTAAATTTAGAAGAAAAATAGAGAACGCTCCTAATGTACCATGGGGACATAATTTTTTTCTCTAATTCACATCATTTTTTTTTTTCAAGTGCTGCCGACAATCAGTATGATTTAGTTAATCACATCTCCCGATTC